AAAAAAAAAAAAAAAAAAAAAAAAAAAAAAAAAAAACTAGGACCAGAGCTTTAGGTTGGTTATAAATGAATTTAATTCATGAAATAAACATATTCCTTACCAATCAAACTACATGATTATTTTGTTGGCATTGCTTGACAATTGTTTTAATTTAGAAGCAATGAAACAACTTTAATGAATTGACACCCGGAGAAATTAAATTATCCTCCATGCATCGGGCCTGGATTAAATGGTAATTATACAAAATAAAGCTGTGGTCCTAAACTATGTAGTTAGAGTTCGAAGACTTTTAGGTATATTAATATATTTCTTCTTATTTAATTCTTTATGTAATATTTTATGAATTAATGTTCCAAAAAAAATTGTTTACATAAAAGAAGCCAAAAAGGTATATTCATCTCTCTCTTTTTTAGTAATTATTGAAATGATACTTTGAATTTTTTTAAATAAATTTTTTTATTTTCAAATTGAATGAAATTAATTTTTTTATATTTAGTTGAAATAAATTAGTTAAAATTTAACAAATCACATAATTATAAGCTATCATTTTGTCTTGTCTATTTAATACCCATTAATTAAACTATTGCTAATTTGTTAATCTTTAGATTCATTTTCTAATGAAATGATATTTTCGTTTTTTGATATCAAGTTGGTTATTAAGAAAGGGTTAACTAATTTCATTTGGTTATTTGTTAAGTAAATGTCATATTATCAAAAAAATTAAGCCTAAAACTGCCAAATCTATAAAGATTTAACATGTATTAAATAACAAAGATAAAATAACAATATATAATTGTATCATGTATTAAATTTTAATTAATTAATTTTAATTAAATAATACAATAATTAATTTCATTCAACTTGAATATAAGAAAAAAAGATTTATTTTAAGAAAAATTATAATAATTTATAGATTTATCTACTCTCTACCCTTAGGATACAAGATAAAAAGTAATTATTAGTCAATAATTATCTTAAAAAATATGAAATTTTAAATTAAAAAATAAATTTTGACTTGAATTGTAAAACAAATAAATAAAAAATTAACACGTAACATTTGAAATTAAAATAAAAATTAATTTTATTATTTTCAAGAAAAAAATTAATTAGGATACAGGAGTGATAAACCCATAATTTATTTCAATAATGACTTTTTAGAAAGTTAATAAATGTACTCTTCAAATAAAGTAAAAAAAGAAAAAGGAAAATATTGCAAAATTACCCTTTGGGCCTTATTGTGGTCCCATCAAGTTCAAGGGATTGCCAGCTCGGCTCGTTGGGGTGCGAGCCTGGCGGGACCGCAGGGCACGTGGTTCAAGGTTTCAAAACGACGTCACCCCTCCCGTCGTTGTCGACGACTTACAAGTGTTACGGTCGCATTTCTAGAACGGAAGACGGACCCACAGTCTATATATAGGAGGTAAAATCGGGGGAAGAACACAGTGTTTTTCTTAGTATTTTTTTAATAAAGAAAATTCGCAATCCATTTCAAAAATCAAATTATTATTTAATTTTAAATAGGCTCCTAGTATTACAATTTGTTTTATTATTATTGTTTTTTTAGCAATTAGAACTATTTTTCTTATATCCCACAATAATAGTAATTTTTTATTCAAAATTTATTCTAAAATGATAGTATTTTTTATATGTAATTATAATATCATATAATATTATTTTGTAAACTTATAATTATGATGTGTTAATATATGATTTTTTTTATAATTTAATTATAATATTGTGTATTTTAATTTATTTAATAATATATTGTGATTGTATTATAATTTTAAATAATGTTATGATTATATTATTATTAAAAAATTTATTATTGTGAAAAAACTAAATCGGTATGTAAAAACTCACATTATTAATATTTATTAACAATAAATCCACGTAATATGGCAATAATTTTTATTAATTCTTGAGTTCATAAACTCTTTTGTTTTGGGTAAATGGAGCTCATAAATGGATAAAAACATTCACTGATTTGATTTTATTATATAATTGCAATGAAAATTTATTATTAATAAATAGATTTTTCCAACTTATGCCTTTCAATATTACATCTTTTTACTATTAATTTATATTAAAAAATGAAAATAAATTTTATTTTTAATATCAATATCATGTGAAATATTTTAATTAATTAATTAATAAAGTGTATTTATTATTAATAAATAGATTTTTCCAACTTATGCCTTTCAATATTACATCTTTTTACTATTAATTTATATTTAAAAAATGAAAATAAATTTTATTTTTAATATCAATATCATGTGAAATATTTTAATTAATTAATTAATAAAGTGTATTTATTACATCTCTTCATTATTAATTTACATAAAAAATTATGAAAATAAATTTTATTTTTAATATTAATATCATATGAACATTTTAATTAGATAACTAATAAAATTAAAGTACAATTTTACTCTTTTTTATTTAAATTAATAATGAAAAGATGGAAAAATGCATTTTTAACTTGTCCTATCATATTAGAAAAACCCTCACCAACATGTTAAAAAAACTCCAACCCACGATCTGTTGGTATAAATGAAAGGAGTTTGATTCCTCTTAAATAAGATTTCGAGTTCGAATTTTATAAATGGAGAAAACAGGTACTGAAAGAGCTTTCCTTTAATGAGATTCGACCCGACTTAATTTCAAATTAATTGAAATTTAATATAATTATCGAATACTAAAAAGTTAGTAAAAAAAATCATATTAGAAAAACCCTCAATAAGTATTGTCAATAAATTATTTTTTATATGTAAAGTTGTTAATAGTAATTTTTTGTTGGGTAAACAGAAAAACAAGTCGACCTGTAAAAAAAAAAAAATTGCGAGTCAACTTTATTAAAACCACACTGTTTATAATAAAAAGGGAGAATTTTAACCCCTGCATCTTGAATTACAAATCCTCCCCTTATCCTTTCTCTTGATTGCAGCACCACCACTGCAAAATCCTCGTTCCACATTTTTTTCATAATTGTAAATTCTCATGAAGTTTTCCTTCATTCTCATTATTAAGATTATCATTAGATGGCATATCTCCTTTTGTTATGTCCTGAAGTCCATCAAATTCCTTCATTCGTTCAACAACCAATCACATCTATAGCTTGTCTAATCTCAAATTCTTCAAATGTGGATAGAGAAACTGAAGAAGACACTATCTAAGCAACCAAATTAATAAT